AATATGAATGACATACTTTATGAATGGACACATAGTAAATTCCAGAAAACTGCAATCATGGTACTACATCTTATAGATGAAAGTGATAATGAAGATAATGAAAAGATGATCAGTATACTGACCATCATAAGAAACACACCATAAAATTAAGGTATTTTCTTAGATACAATTTTTTTTTCTTCAAATCTTATATTCTCTTAAAATATCTTTGGCATTTACAAAGTTGGAACAAAAACAGGTAAGACTTTAACAGTAACAAATCAACAGAAACCGTTTTCTTTTGTTGTTCAAATATAGACTGCTCGTTCCTGCTATCTGATATCGAGTGGGTTTTTGGAAGAACCTGCAGGTACACATTTCAAAAAGAAATTCAGAAAACATCCTTGCTGAATACAGTGAACTGTTAAATACGACTTAAATTTGCTCCCCTGCACCTCCTTCAATTAATGCACACAACCAAGATCTTTTCATGTTAAGGAGCAGGAATACCAGTGACAGATATTGCATACAGTCAAACCTCATTATCATGAACTTGATAGGACTGAGAAAAAAACTTCGAGATATCCAAGTATTTGAGATATTAGGGGTAAAATAGTTAGAGAATAAGTGGTTTGGACTTCCAAATCACTTCGACATATCCATGGTATTCAAGATATCAGCTAGTGTTCGAGATACCGAAGTTCAATTGTACTAAAATATTTCATTTCCATCATAGCACTACAATTGTGCATCCCAGACAAAGATTTTCAAATTAGAAAATCCCATTTAAATTTTTGTTGAAAATATTGCAATACATATTGCAATACAGTTTAAAATACCGCAATATATAGCCAGGGATTTTTTTACCCTTTGATTCAAGGGGCCGGGGCCGTCAAGATTGGGAAAAATAGCGATATTTGGTTGAAATTGGGAAAAATACCTTTATACAAATAAATAGGAAAAAAGAAGCAAAAGTCAAATATTTAATAATTTTTCCTTTTTTTATAGTATGAAGCTGGCTTAAACCAGCTTTAGTGATACGAAATAATAGCGGCTGTTGAAGTTCAGAAGCTTAAAAATGGCAAAGCCGCAGGGTATGATAACATTGGAAATGAACATATTTATGTCATCTTTTTTACCTTTATGTAAGAAGTTCTTTAAAATAACATTTGATAGTGGGTTTGTTCCAGATGAGTGGTTAATCGGTATTGTTTGACCAGTTTATAAGAATAAGAGCGATTCAACCCAGCCTGAAAATTACCGTCCTAAGCAAAATGGAGAGACTGACATGAGCATGATGCACGTTTATTTTTAGATAACGATCCCGACTTTAATTTTTAAACATCGATCCCGCTTTAAAAAGTACATGTACATGTACATGTATGCATGCAAACATCCGGAGTATTCCGAATCCTTGGATGGCTCGTACATCGCACATAAAGAACATAAACACCTTTTTTCATTATTTTATTTTAATAATTTACAACTTAATACTTTTTTTCATATTGGGAATTTTTGGGTATGATTTTGGGAAAAACATGCACTTTTCAGCATTGGGAATGGGGCCGAATTCGGCCTCAGAGAGACCCTAAAAAAATCCCTGATAGCAATAGGAAATCTCTAGTCAATACCCAGCCCTACAAGTAAAGAAGAAAGTAGGTGAAAATAGCTATCTGGAGTAGGTTTAAATATCTAAGTAGCTATAAGTTACTACGTAGGTAGAAGTAGTCTTTGGACTTGAGCTGTTGAAGGGCCTAGTATCATGAGTATATCTGTATCTGTGTATGTTACAAAAACAATAAACCACATGTACACACGGATAGAATGTTCATCCTTTTATTCTATTAACCTAGTAAGATTTTTTTTAACCTGTCACCGTGTTTTTCAATAATATTAAAATAAAAATTATTCGATACAAATATTCGCTACCGCATGTGTACATACATATTTATAAACCAAGACCCAAGTACCTGTGCATGTGTATGGCATTATGGCGAACATATTAGTTAACACATTGGCGCCAATATCTCAAGTCACGTTAAAGCCGGAAAATGTAAAAATTACACAAAACTGTATCATAAACTTACGGTATAAAACACTGGACACGTATTTCTTGCTTGATGGAGGGACTTTTTGCTTATTTCCGTGTCAGGCTATAAACTTGCTCTAGATGATATGGCGAGATTGGAAAGAAAATTAAGAACAATTGACGACTGTATTTCGAACCCGATGCAAAAATGGGTAAATTTTTACGGAGGCGTATTAGTATCACGTAATATATATTTTTAAAGTTGGTAATTCCATAGCTTTTCCCCCTTTATTTTAAATTATTACCAACTTCGTTAATGCAAAATTAATACACTGAAATAGATTGGTGAGCAATTAATCTATGTCAATTATTTTTTTACTCGACCTTCCGTATGACCTTACATATAACTTCCATTTTTGAAAACCTTTATATATATATTTTTTGGTCCATCTTACCTGTATATAATTATACAGAGAATAACTTCATAATTAAAACTCCGTACAAGACAGTAATCAACCAAACCTATTTAAGAGATCAGATATATATTTTGTTTTGTATGAGAGAATAAGCTTAAACAAATATTATTTGATGTTTAATTTATGGGATGAATCAACACTATAATACATGCTACAAATACAACTGCATGGACTAAATGCATCAATTCTGTATGTGAAAACACATTGAAATAATTCCTTCTTTCATCAGAATTTCATAATTAAATCGTTTCTTTCCATTGTAATTACATGTATAAAACAGCAACACGAGTCCAGCTACAAAGTATCTGAATATAACGCATATAAAAGATAGAAAAACTAACATTAAAGTTGGAATTACCTGGAAAAGCCGATTTAAAAGTTGGAAAAGCCAACTTTCAGGATATCCGCTCTTCAGCCAGGAAGGATAACTGTTAAATTTATTATTTAGTTTAAGTGTCAAAATGAAGCTTGAAATTGATTGTGCAACAATTTTCAATTTATGTATCTCAATCACAGGCACTTGGGGTATGGACCCCCCCCCCCCCCCTTTCTCCATTTTTTTTCTTTTTAAATCTGGGGTCGAGTCACCTTTTTCCTATTTTTATATTCTAATATGCACTATATGTTATCAAAAATGTAACTCTTTTGTCTCTATATGCTGTTTTTAAATATACCGTTTTCGACTGTTTTATGTATTAGTCGAAAACGGTATATTTAAAAACAGCATATAGAGACAAAAGAGTTACATTATTGATAACATATAGTGCATATTAGAATATAAAAATAGGAAAAAGGTGACTCGACCCCAGATTTGAAAAGAAAAAAAAGGAGAAGGGGGGGGGGGTCTATACCCCAAGTGCCTGTGATCTCAATATGATTCAAGGTTCTTTGAAGTCTTAGAAACGGTTCTGTATAATATTGACATTTGTACCCAATAAAAGAAAAAAATAAATAAATTTATTTATTTTTAGAGAAATCGAATTTCCTTTAATCTACCATTAGATACCAATGCACATTAGTATGAAATGAAATTAGATGTGATATGTGATGTCTAACAATGATAGCATGCACAAGCTTTTTACACTATGCATTTTACAACAATTGAAGTAAATAGAAGAACTAAAATATTGTATAAGCATAAAAAAGATGCAATTTTCTCCGAATGCCTGGATACCTATATTTTTTTAATCCAAAAATATATGTTGATCAATTTTCAATTAGAAAATGCATATCTGTTGCTTTTATTCGCGTATCCTGAAAATATATTTGAGTTTTGATGATTTTCCTTATATAATATGATTTACTATAAAGATGAACTTACCGTGGGTAAGTCACGATACTATGTGAAATCAGAGACATTTTTGTGAGCATTTTCAACAACTTAAGAGCAGAACCTGAGGATCGGACTACCTTAAAGTTGAAAAAGCCAACTTTAAAGTTGGAATTAACAACTTCCAAAAAAAAAAAAAAAAAAAACAAAAACAAAAACAAAAAAAAACAACAACAACAAAAAAAAACGTGGCACTAATACGCTTCCGTAGAATTGACATTGATGAAGTTATCATTTGAAATAAAAAAAAGAAAAGAAAAGAAAGAAAGAAAGAAAAATAAAGAAAAACGGAACTTGCCAAAAAATGTGGGGGGTGGGGGTAACTTCCCAAAATAATATCTGACAAGGAAAAAAAACCTGTCCAAATAGTGCAATTTGCCAGTGTTCGACCTTATAGCAACCAAAAAATGGAGGGGGGGGGGGCAACCGGCATCTAAAGGAAAATTTCCTATAGCAAGTTATTATACTCAGAATAAGTTGGGGGTCCTCCTCCGCGTGCTACGGGCCTGTGTCTATTTCATATAGGTGCTTCATATATAATGATAATTATACAAAAGATATAGAGAATAGAATTACTCAATTATCAGGCAAAGACATGCCCTTGGATAGAATAGAATAATAATATATAACATAATGATTGCTCATTTAATCCTTGGATAATATTATACTCATGTACATAAATCAATCCAATAAAACTTGTTCCGAATCCGCTACGGTAGCGGTTATATAGTGGTTAATACATTGTATATATAAGATCTTTTTTTTTTTTTAAAGAGAATCACAAAATAAAGAATTTTCTTTATGCAGAGTTGAGTAACACAAAAAGAATTTGTTCATTATACATGTCACTTACATGTAAAGATCGAACTTATTTCCTTTACAAATAATTAACCTCAAGACCACAACTTGACAAACGTTTAGATTCTAATAGAATTATTAAATTTGTGTTACCGAGAAGAATCTGATTGTGACCCGGGGTCTTAGGGCGGTTCTACTTCACTAAGGAATGACTCTCAACCTTTACATCATTTATTTTGAAACAGTTAACGACACATATAGTTGATCAGTTGAGATTTTGACCTGTAACATAGTAAAAGCTAAATAAAGCTAAATTAACAACATTGCAAGAAAGATAACTCTTACGTTCATGCTTCCCAATAAAATGAAAATAACAGTTAATTCCCTTTGATATACAAGACTCAAAAATAGTTGCGTTTATCAAAATTATCTATATCTGCTCATTAGTTTAACAAACAAGGTATTATAAATATACTGATAATATACTCATTCCAGTTTCACTGCATACTATCATGTAAAACCTTTTTTCACATGAATTCATAAAGAAAATATTTACATGTATATTTCATCAGTATTATGATCATAGATCTATGTATCATGATATATATTTCAAACATAATGCTCTAGAAATTATGCTTACCTCACATGAGGTGTAAAGATCGTTTAACAATAAGTTTAAACTACGTACATCATCTGATCACGAGCATTCTATCTAAAGGAAAAATAAATATGCTGACTTCAGCTATTCAGTTCACTGTGCTATATCTATAATTATATTACAAATCCTATCTATCTTTTCAAAGTAAATGTTACACTTATATCTATGCTTTCAATATAATCAGCCATTTCAATACACATGATAAAACATCCACATGAGTGATATACTTATTTCAAAAGTAACCTACAGTATTACAAACATATTCATATTCAACAAACTCATGTGTTGCAAATAATTTTATAAATAATGAAAAATAATAAATTGATTCATCATAATAGATTGATAAAAATAATTACAAATTTCACTCTGTCACGTAATGACCACCCTGAATTCTAGCTGCAGATCTATAGCTCGCTGGTCTAAAAAAGAAATAGTATGGACGACCAGAGAGCTGCAGATCTGTAGCTCGATGGTCTACAAAATTGGTATGGACGACCAGAGAGCTATATAGTGCCACCCATTGAAAAAAGTGTATATTTATTGCGCACAAAAAAGTGCGCCGTGTCTCAGTTTATTTCTCCGTATATATGAATTGCCATCTCAAAATATTATTAACCATGTGTTCCTAACATATTTTTAAACTACTTCCACAAGAAAACATTACAAAAAAAAATTTGGATTTAAAAAAAAACAAAACGTCACATGAATAACCCTCCTGGGCCTTTATTTGAGACCATCGAAAATTTCGCCTATATTTATACGGCCTTTTTGTGTGCCCAACTCACTTCGTGCATGGCTTGTACTTGCAGTTTTGATGTGGAAGTAGCAAAAGAAATCGTTAGGAACACACAGTTAGAAATATTTTGAAATATACATAGAAATATTTGAATTGAGAAACAGTACACTTTTTTGTGCGCAATAAAAACACTTTTTTTTTCAATGGGTGGCACTGAAGCTCTCTGGGCGTGCATCCCAGTTTTTGTTTAGACCAGCGAGCTACAGATCTGCAGCTACCTGAATTCTTGAAGAATGTTCTAAACATGTTAAGGTGGAGAGGGTACTTGCATGGAAAGGATCAATATCTGACAAATCATGGCCGTAGGAACCTTGCCCCCAATAATTTTGCGGATATAGTTAATAGTACTGTAAAAAAAAACAAAAAAAAAAAAAAAACAGCATAGCTACTATATGCTTGTGCCCCCTCAATAAAAACGTCTGACGAGTTTTTTAAAATTTTTTTTTTACTTTTGGTACTTGATAGTCCCCCCCCCCTCCCCCGACTAAAAATGTATGGCTGTGCCCCCAAAACTGAAATTGCTTCCTAAGGGACTACAAATCGACACTTTTCTACATTTTTTTTTTTGGTTTTCTGTTTGTTTTTGTTTTTGTTTTTTTGTTTTTGTTTTGGTTTGTTTATAGAACATCGATAATAAGACACACATTATATATTGATGATATGAATTTTATTATTGAATATTTTATTTTTGATTGTTGTAATTCACTAACTGGGCAAAATTAAACTAATACGTTCAATTATATATACTTCTTTACAGTATTTATTCTAAGAAATGCCGTAATGGCAATTTTTTAAAGGCAGAACAATAAATCAATAATAATTATACTTATCAATGTACTTCAAATTTTCTAAACTTACAAGAAATACAACAATTTTGATCCTCAGTCTACGACATTTTCCTGAACAATGGATGACGTCAAATTCGTTACGTTGACGTCATTTCTCAGATGCAGGTGGATTCAAAACACTGTAGGAATATGACCATCTGAAGATTTAATTTCAGGTAAGATATTTCTCTTGCAAAAAAAAAAAAAAAAAAAAAATCAATTTTGATTAAAAAAAAACGTGACATGATTTATATAGCAGT